TGGTTTCACATTCTTACATGCACTCAAGGCAACTTCCTCATTCTTCCTCTTCGGGGCAAGCTATGCTTTTCCATGCAATAATTTAAGCACATTCTTTCATAGGTATCCCTTGCTCTTACTCATTACATGTATGTGCACATACATCATAAAACATAACATAATTTAACCAACATATCAAATCTAATAATTATGTAATATATGATTACATCCATGTCTCCACGTACTTTAACATGATCTACTTTTCATTATCATACAATAAGAACCCCAGTCAATCAGTGATCATGATGTTAGGGGTAGGGTTTTCTAGGTTTAAGTTATAACACTCAATGAATTCATCATCTTCTTACTTTGACTCTCCACTAATCGAGAATTAGCAACAATGTAAGTGTATGATGAAAATGAAGTTCATGAATCATTGGAAAAGAATAAGGAAATATAGAAGCAAATAAAGATCGGATCATCAACTTAGAATGAGTCGGGTAAAATAATGGGTGGGAATAAAGGAAATGGTTCAGGTACAGTGGTAGTACAATGACAGGGAATGGGTTATTGTGAATCAAGAACAAAATAATAAAAATCCAACCCTTTTGAGTGCTAGGGAAACAACCCAATTATGATATGGATTTTCCTGACGTGCCTAGTTTAAAGATGAAATCATCTGAAGAAAATTGATCCCTTTTTTTTTCTTATATGACCATGTGTGTGTACTTTGAGATCTCTGGATCGTGTATGTTTTATAAGATCCCTGATCGTGTTTGTGTTTTCTACGATCCTCAAACCGGGGGGTAAATGGATGGATAGTGGGTGGTTTAGTTTCAACAAAATGGAGAAGAATCGTTTCACCGGAGTAGAAGGGAAACACCTATTCATGAGCTTTCTTGGGTTACTTCTATGGTAAAATGAGACAGAGAGAGGCAAATAGAGAGATAGATAGAGAGAGTGTGTGAGAGACAGAGAGAGAGAGAGAGAGAGAGAAAGAAAGAAAAAAAGAGAGAGGGAGAAAGAGAGAAAGAGAGAGAGAAAGAGAGAGAGAGAGAGAGAGAGAGAGAGATAGGTATATTAGCCACTCGTAGTGGAAATAATTGATGAGCAAATGATTAACGCATATGATGTTTTCAAAGGTTCTATCATTGAGATCTCTGATGTGGGGTTTCTAATATACCTTATTATGATGTTGATGGGGGGACATTAATGTTGATGTGGGCATGAATTGGTTAGGACAACATCAAGCCATGATTCATTGAGAGTGACGGTAAAATTGAGTTCAAACCGAAATGGAGAGATCAGTTATCTATGGTAAAAATAGAAAAGAGAACACAATTATTTGCTTCGATGTTGTAACACCCTGACTTCCAGGTATGAACTTTACATGTTTATTTTCATATTTGAAAGGTCTACTCGACGAGTTGGATGCCCTGACTCGTCGAGTAGGAACGATTTTTGGCCGCGTGATTAAGTGACCAACTCGACGAATCTGAGGACACGACTCGACGAGTTGGAGTTGGGGTGTGAAACCCTAATTTTTGGGGTTTTGCACCCTATTTAAAGGTTCATTCACCCCCTTATCCTCCGCTTACAACCCTTTTTGAGTCCAGAAAACCCTAAATCGGCATTTTCTCTCTTTTTGTGCAATATTAAGCCTTGAGGTGGATTATGGAAGGAAGATCTTGAAGTACTCAAGTTTGGAACAAGAAAATACCGTGGATGAAAGTCCTACTTCATCTTAGCATCTTTTTTGAGGTACACAAGTCGTTACCTTGACCTTCTTTTAACTAGATCTATTCATGTTTTAGTTTTAGGGCCATTATAGCAATGTTGATGATTCATTTCGGGTATTGGGTATGATCTAGAGTTGCAACTTCATATCTAGACTCATCTTGGCTCTTAAAGTCATAAATCTTCAGTCTTTAATAAGTTAATGCCTTTTCCATAACTATAACTTCTTCTTTAGCTTGTTTTGGGCCATTATCACCTTGCGTGTAAGTAAAGTTTGCAACTTTACATAGTAAACATGCCTTAGGAGCTTAGATCTGCAATATGAAACTTTATGGAGGCTTAAAATCATCTAAATGGAAAAGGACTGAAGGGAATCGACGAGTTGCATGGTCAACTCTGGGAGTCCGATGAATATTAACCTTGAGGACCTTTGCATGGACTCGTCGGGTTAGCAAGACGACTCGACGAGTCAGTTAGGGTTTTCTCGACTTTTGGACACGTAAAGATTCAGTGAGTTGTCTGGAAACTCGACGAGTCAACTAGGGATTTCATGACTTCTCAAGTGCTGGAAGGACTTGTCGAGTCAGTGAGCTCCACTCGACGAGTAAGGTCAACATGGGCGGTTGACCTTGACCGTCGACTTTTGACTTTGACGAAGGGTTAACCAGTTTGACTTATGGGGTATTTTGGTAAACTGGAAATTTATGGAAATGGTCTTATAGAAATTATAAGTAGTGAAGTTTGTGACCGTGATTCGAGATTTTGAGCTTATCACTTTAGTACGACACTTGCGAGGTGAGTTGCCCTTACTATACTAACATGGTCGAAGGCACCAATGTCGACCCTTTTCGGATTTGTATCCGAGTTCATTGCACGTTATGCTTTATGATATGTATATTGGTTATAGGATGATTGTCATGTTAGAGATCGGTTAGATCAATATCCTAGTTGTACTCAAAAGATTTATATATAATGTGATTTTCCACCAATAAACTATGACGATTTTTAAAGCGTAAAGAGTTTATTTATTTATTTATTTGAAAACTAGAGGATGTCACAATTTATATCTTCACTACAACTGTAAACATCATTTCCCTAGTATAGCGGTAAAAACCACATCTATATCCATCGATATGAATCAACATCACAACCCTACACCTCCATCACATCGTTGCTCGCACCCACCATGACAACGTCAAGCATCTCCAACTCCGACAATGCTAGGTTTCAGAAACCAGGCGTTCAAATGGTGGTGGAGAAGGATTTTGCATATTTATGTTGGGGAAGCCCTATATTCAAAATCCTAACATTGTAGAAGCTCATAAAAGGAGATGGAAAGACTGTAGATTATGTAGAAGCGATGAAACACCCTCATCCCTATGAAGACCATATCCGTTATAAGACATTTAAAAGTCTGATGCTAGATCCATTTGGTGTTTCTTTGTTTCTAAAATAGTTTTCTTTAAGTTTTTTTTAGTAAAAGTTGTATATTCAAAGGTGTTTGATCTCAAAAAATTAGTGGATTCCAGCAAAAGTCATTCTTCATCTGATTCTTTTACACTAATAAAAGAGGATCCACTTCAAATTTGAAGATGATTACAATATTAACAGTGCATAATGTGCTTGTACAACATAAATTCTTGATATGTGTTGAGATATAGAAAGTTGGATCAATGAGTATTTATGAATATATTTTTAATAGATTTTCTATGTTTATGAACCAACAATACAATGTTTTTTTTCTAGATTTGTAACTATCATTTAAGTTTGGTAATACATTCGGTTACTTATTCACGTTTGGTAATATGTTCTTCAAAATTTATTACTAAAAGTATGTGTGATTGTGATTTTTTTTAGTGTTTTTATTTGTTAATATAAGTGGCTTGAGTGAAAAATAATAAGAGAGAGAGAGATTTAAAAATTATTATAATATCTAGAAAACATAAAAATAATATAAAAAATAAATTAAAAAGATAAAACAATCTTTTATGTTTAACAACAAAAATATCATATTTTAGACTAGGGATGAGATTTAGAACCGGAACCGGACCGGAACCGAAATTGTTAAAACCGAAATATATAGAACCGGTTTCGGTTGCGAGTTTAAAAATTGGCTTTATCCGGGTTTGGGTCCATCGGGTTCGGGTAAACCGGGTCTAAAAACCAGAACCGGTTTTTGGAACTGAAACCACTTTTAGGGCCGGAACCGGTTTTTTGTGAAACGTTTAAAAGATGCATATCTCATTTGTTTCAACTCCGATTGACATACGATTTTTTCCAACATGTAGTTTAGAGTTTGTACATGATTTTAGACTATAAATTTGCCATTTTTTGTTTTATATTCATTGACTTACAGTCCCCCAAAGTCGATATATCAAAGCTGGAAGTTTTTAATTTTTCAGTTTTTTTGTATTTGGTGAAAGTTTTAAAATATGCATATCTAATTCGTTTGAAGTCGGATTGACGTGTGGTTTTTTCCAACTTGTAGTTTACAGTTTGTACATGATTTTAGACTATAATTTTATCATTTTTGGTTTAACATTCAATGATTTACAATCCTCCAAAGTCAGGATATCAAAACTGAAAATTTTCAACTTTTCAGCTATTTGTTTTTGTACTTTGTATTATGTGAAAATGTTAACACATGCATATCACATTCGTTTAAAGTCGGATTGACATGTGATTTTTTCCAGAGTTTGTACATGATTTTAGACTATAATTTTGTTAATTTTGGTTTCATATTCAATGAGTTACAATCCCCCAAAGTCGGAATATCAATATGAAAATTTTCAAAGTTCAACCCACTAAGTAGTAAGTAATTACCAAAAAATTCTGGTTTTTCTGGGTTTCTCGGTTCTAAACTCACTTTATCCGGTTCCAACCTAACCACTTTGATGTTTCCAAGTATTTCGGTTGTAGACCCACTTTACCCGGAACCATACCCAAAACCGATTCCTATATACCGGTCTGGTTTCCGGTTCTACAAAATCTCGTTAACCGGTTCCGGGTCCATCCGATCCGGGTTTGGACCCATTTTCATCCTTATTTTAGACCATCCAAAAAGTTCAAAATTTTTGTGTTATTATCCATACTTTCTTACTAACAAAGGGACCAAGTTTGCTATTTAGTTAGTTTTTTTTTTTTAACACACTACATTGTGAATAATTTGCTTAAAGTTAGGGATGTTAATGATAGCTTTTATAAATTGAGGGCACTGTTTGTAATAAAAATAAGTTAATTGGCGTAAGTGTAATAAAAATTAGAGAGGTACACGACACGTGCGACCGAAGGCGCACTCTTTCCATCGTCAAACCCTATCATCTTCTTTGGCTCTCTCTTCGATTCATCTTTCCATCTCCATCGTCCCTCTCATGAAATCGATCAAAACCTTCCAATCTAGGGTTTCTTCTGCGATCTCGAAGAACCTGAGATCACTACCATCATCATCAATTTTTTGATGATAACTTCTTCTACAGTCAATCCTAGAATCATCATCAATCGCTCCTCTACCAACACCGTCACCGCCGCCATGGCGGGCTCAGTAGACGATCTCGGAGGAGTTGGACCAGCTCCACCAGATTCATGGGAGGTCGCAGACTTAGACGCCACTATGAGCAGGTTGATGCTCTCCTCCAAGCGGGACAACAACTCCGATTCGACTACTACTACTACTTCTTCTCCTCCTCTTCCTCCTTCGGAGTTTGCTTCTGCTTCCTCAACTCCGATTAGGTCTTCTTCGGGCGGTGTGTTGGAGAATTTGGTAAATTCTGTCGATCAGTTCCTTCGCGAAGCTTTGCAAAACCCTAGGGAGCGCCTTTCAGGTCTGTCTCTTTTTTTTGACGTTTATTGTTTTTATGTGGTCTTTACGAAGGCAAATTTATCATCTGTTGTATGTAATTGTTCTTAAAAGGGATAGATTGCAACTAAGGACATCATAGAATGGAAAACGTAACTCGATATTTTGGTGCTAGCCTCTCTCTCAGGAGGCTCAAATTGGACTATGTTACATAGCGTGAAGATTAGGCCAACCCCTAATGTTTGTATATAATCGATTGAATCTTCAATGAAAAGTAATGTGAACATGTGTCAGGTTTTAATCGAACTGAATAGTGGCAGAATTTTAGAAATGAAGATGCAGTAAAAGCAAAACAGAAGTTATGATTTGCTCACTTGGTGTTTGCAGTCGATGTGTGATCAACGAGTTTACTCATCATCTGTGCCACATTGTAATGTCATATTGACTAGATCTAACCCATTGCTCAATGAATGATGATTACAGACAAAGCTCAAAACTAGTTGACACAAATCATATCGTACTTTATCTGTTTCATTCTTGAAATGTAAAAAAAACCCTTGAATCAAACATCTTTTTAACTACCCTGTCTTCGTGATTGTTGTTGTTTTAATCAAATTATTGTAAACTGCATCAATCAGACTTACAACCAATGTTGGGTGTAGCTTCTATGTGAACATATGTTGCCCTTTGTGATTGTTGTTGTTTTAATCAAATTATTGTAAACTGCATCAATCAGACTTACAACCAATGTTGGGTGTAGCTTCTATGTGAACATATGTTGCCCTTCTGTTCAATTGTTTACTTGTATTTATGTTTCCCCTCTTTTGTTGTAATCTTTAGAAGAAGTGCATAAACAATCACTATAATTTTGTTTTCAGTACTACGAATGGAACAAGATGTGGAGAAGTTCATAAGAGATCCTTCACAACAACAGATGGAATTCCAACAACTGCCCACTTCATATCTGCGGTTAGCAGCACATCGAGTGGCCCAACACTATTCCCTCCAATCCATGGTTCTACTAGACAACACCCTTCCGGATGGTTCCGGATCCAGAATCATCGTACGCAAAACATCCGAATGCCGCCTCCCTCCAATCCGTCTAGCAGACATCCCTGTAAGTATCCCAACAGAAGACCTTCCCACCAATGCTGTGAAAGTTGCAATCAAACAAAGGCCCAACAAACGATCACAAAACTCGGGTGGATCAAACTCAAATTCCTTAAAAAACAATAGTTTAAAAAGCGTGGAGGAAAGAAAAGAAGAATATAACCGAGCACGTGCAAGAATCTTTAGCTCTAGCTCAAGTTCTAGTGGGAAACAGGAGAACGAGCCAAGCCCAAGGGTACAAGAAGTTTTCCAGCATATAAAAATAGAAGAAGTTTCTGTTCCAGGTGATGTGGCGATAGGGAGATCTTCAGTTGATTCGACAGCTGGCAGTAGTAGACCAGGTAGAAGTAGTAGGACAGAAAGAGAAAGGGAGCCGATTGTTAGGTCAAGAAGTAATAGTAGAGTGGCAATCTTTCGTGATCGTGAAGTTGAGCGTAAGGATCCTGATTATGACAGAAACTATGACAGGTTCTCTCATTTCATCTCCATCTTTCTCTCTCTTTTTTTTGTATAGACATTGTAAAAGTTTTTTTTGTATTAAAAATATAATTTTTTTTTTTTCCAGATATGCTCAAAGATTTGATCCAGGGTTTGGGTTTAATGGGGGGAATTATCAGATACAGCCGATGTATACACCAGTTTTGAACTACAATACCGAGTTTCCTCAGCTTGGTTCGGCACATAGATCGCCTATTTCAGCTGAACATCAATCTCATGCGCTGAGTCAGCATCTACCTGGACCGTGGGTTCCACCATCTTCACCTGCAGGAATTGGTTACAGACCTCCAGATGCAATGATGACTCCATATAGTCCTAACCCTAACCATGCTTCCCCTCATTCTGCTTCTGCATTATATATGCAGTATCCATGTCAGCGACCTGGGGTGACTTTCATTCATCCTCGTGAGCAGGTTCAACACTACACACAAGTAAGAAATATTGTTTTTTTTTTTTTTAAATAAATCTTTTATTTAATTGGGTATTTTTTTCTTTGATTAAAAGTGAGTGACACCTGTGTGTTTTGCAGACACAACAGCAGCAATCTGATGCAAGTTTTGGAATAGCCCGGCCCCGGTGAGGGGCGTGGGCCATGCCTGCACCCTGTCAGAGAGCATGTCTATAGGAGTTATATCTGATGTGGCAGAGGTGCAGGCATAAGTTACTGAGGTTGAGTGGATGGATATGACATGTCAGCTGTTGGTCCATTTCATCAATCTCAGTTTTGAGAGCTTCATGATTGTTTGTTTATGGAAGCTCAGTCATTGGTCCCAAGTATTTCATTTGTTGTCAGTCATTGATGACAACAAAAATTGATATATCAGGAAAGAGTATACAGGAGCTGTGAATGTACACTTTTCTTCCAACCGAAGGTAATTACCTTCTTTCTTTCTTTCTTTCACATCTTTTATTTTGTATTTATATTTTGCTCTGTATTAAATCATTACTAAATTATTGTTGATGCGGTTGTTACAGCAGCACTATAGAAGCAAAGAAGGCGGAGGCAGCCTTATAAATGAAAGGGAAGTCAGGGTGGGTTTTGTTTGTTTGCTTTTGGTTGGTGGTTTCTTGCAGAAAAAAGGAAAAAATGGCTCCAATCTTTATCTCACTCTTTTGTTAGAAAAATTGATAGCAGTATGTACAAATTTGTGTTTTGGAAGTTTGAAACTTGTACTTTCTTGCATGTATGTCACTTTTTATGGTTTTACTGTTTGAACTCAAAGTTCTGCATTACTACTTTCCAAACAAAAGTATTTGCATTCAAAGTTTGCCCTAGTTAGAAGTGCACATACACCAAGCTTTTCAGTTAAAAAGACCCATCAATATAGGACCTGGATAAGACTTAGGGCTGTTTGAAAGCCTTCGATTCAGTCTTATAACCTTTTATAGGACTTTTTCTGGATCTGGCAAGAGGCTGGGTTAGGTCTTCGACTGTATTTGGTTAAAAAGCTAAGGTTTTAGACATCCAGAACTTGTGTATTTGGTTAAGGTGGTTTAGTAAAAAAGGCTTAGCGACTGTAGTTTTTGTCTTTAATGAAAAATATCAAGCAAAACGGATATATAGTTGTTCCGTAGGGGTGGCAATCTTAGACCCAATCCGTAACCCGACATTGACCCAAGATGAAAATAAACGGGTTTGGGTTGAGATTTTTGATCCGTCAACCCACCAATCCGCCAACTTGTTTATTTTATGGGTTTGGTTCGGTTATTTATTTGGGTTTGTGGGTCAATCTGTCAACCCGATTATATATATATATATATATATATATATATATATATATATATATATATATATATATATATTTTAAAAAATATATTTAATTATTTATCAGTTTTGAATATTTGATTATCGTTTTTCGAATTCCAAAACTGCAAAACATCTTTGAGTCGAATTAATGCCTAGCCTCTAAGAATCCCCTAATCAAAAAGAAATTCAATCTTCAATCTTCAAACTCATGACTCTGTGTCTCTTGTCTCCGTCGATTGAGGCATCGAGTCACTAACTGTCGTAGTGTCGCATGCACACCCCTCGTCTTTTCATCATATGGTTGTCGCACACCACTCGTTGTTACTCATGTTTTTGAATTTATGTTGAATATTTTAGATTTTATGACTTCATTTCATTTGTAATTTTTAATTTCATTTAAAAATATATTGCTTATTAAATGAGTTATACGGATTGGGTTCGATCCATTGACCCACAAACCCACGAATCCATATACTTATACGGGTTATATGAGTTGGGTTGGATTGATGTTTTCAACCCGCCAACCTATGACCCACCAACCCATATATTATATGAGTTGGGTTGAATCAATGTATTCTGGTCCACCAACCCGTTAACCCGAACCCAACCCAATTGCGAGGTCTAGTTGTTCGAGGGCTTCTGCCATATAATTTTTGCCATTTACCCTTGTTGGATTTGTATTTGTAGGCGTGAATGTTTGGTTGAATTAGAAATTAAAGTATTCGAAGGTTATTGATTGTGGAAAGGTAGCATTCGGGGTCAAATTGGCGAATGATCCTGAAAAGTGCAACACAAAAGGATGTGCGTGCTACAACATGTTATGCCTTTAAAATATCAAAAATGTTATGCCTTTATAATATCAAAAAGAGTAAATGCATTTTACATCTTGAAAAATGAAGTTTTTAATATTATTCAACAATCATGCCAAATAACTTACAACATAGATCCAGCTACACGACAAGTGCTAAAATTAAGATGTTTAGTGCGACATACCAGTGGATCTTTTCATATAAAACGTTAAAAGGTGTATGCCATTTATATCTTGGAAAATAAAGTCTTTTATTTTATCAGTAGAGTTTTTTTTTTTTTTTTTTTTTTTTTTTTTTTTTTTTGGTTAAGTGTAATGAACTACTTTGACATGTGTTTTAAGTTAGTAGGAGATCAGCAGTGTTAATTTTGGAATTCGAGGAGTTACCTTAAACATTATAGAATAATTATTTGTGTTTGAAATTATATTAAATATGTTAAATACTTGGTCTCTTTTATGAAGTGTTACAGCCTACGTATAATATTTTTCACACTATACTTTATTTGTTAAACGTTTTGCAGTTTTGAGACTTCTGCAATTTAATTAAATGAGTTTCAAGACCTTTGAAAAATGATTTATAATATAAATTCAAAAGAACCTATACAAAAGGTGTTTCCCATGGTGCTCAAATGAGAATTATTTTTTTAGAACTACAAATAGACATTTCTGACATTACTTCTAAACTACTTATGTTGTTTTTAACAAGGCTTAGACCCTTAATCTTTGACCGATGAACAACTTTCCATCAATATTTGATATTGTTGGACTATAAGTCTTTGATAAATAGGAAACTAGGTACGAAGTGCTTGCATGGTATATTAGGTCTATACCTCCTTAACACCTTAAAAATAAACTTTCGCCTACTTTTGGTTTTGTGTATAACTGTTTAAACCAACAAACAAGAACACAAACTCAAATGAGTCGGTTAGAGTATACCATTTTTCTTAATAAAATTGTAACAATCGTTATAGAGAGGATAGACGTTACAATCATTACATGAGTCGGTTAGATTATATCCTTTTTCGCGATAAACTTTTACCATCATTATACAAAAAATTAGACGTTACAATCATTATATACTGCTTTCTAACTATAAAATGGTTCATATCAGTGGTACACCACATACTTTCTCTGAGTACTAGAAAGACCTTGGACAATCCTCCTACATTTCACATGCGGTCTCGATGAATATGCATGATTTAATCAATCTTTCTCTTGTTTATCAGATCATAAATCCCATTGACATAACCGTCTCGTTTTAACACAACATACATCACGTTTTTCAAGTGTTTTATTTTCTAAACCATAAAACAGTTGATGGTTATTATCACAATCTTTTTATAACCGTTATAAGAATCTCACACGTTATCTAGTTTCATTTATATCCCCAAAACTAAAAGAGTACGTTTGGCTTTAACATAGTGGCGAGTTCAAAAAGTTTTTGGTAGAACACTAACAATTTCTTAAAGAAAATTAAGGCCATTAGATAACTTCATGGACTATTCAACTTAATATAACTAATAACTAGTATCTTATCTTCCACCAGCATAATCCAACTGAAATTGTTTTTTTTTTTACATATTATCAACCCAATCAATACCAATTTTTTTATATGATTCATGATTGTTTTTTTATTATATTATGCAAACTATATATATTATATTTTAGATTTACAACCCCCTTTTTACTATTTTTAAAATCATGCAAAATAAAAACAATTTGCTTTATAAAATAAACTAATATTAATAACAAAATAAGGCTTATGTAAGTCAAAGAAATCAATAAATATGATACATGAAACAAACGATCATCAGTTGTATGCACCAATAAGTTGTGAAATCATTAAAAACATGTTTTAACATTCAATTAAATTGCTCTTTTGATCTCCCCACAAAAAAGCTCCCTTAAAAATCTCCTTTTCTTGCATAATCAATCATAACAAACAAACAAACAACATACACGTCTACCGCAACTTTTACCCCTCATTCAAATTCCGTTATTATAGTTACAACTTGTCTTTAACAAATAAAAGATCATTTGTAATAATAATATATGCAAACATATAACAAGCATAACTTTTTTTCGGATAAAAATAAATTAGGCATTTCAAAATTTCCAATGAAAATATTCCGCATAATTAATGATTTTTATGCGTGACTTTAGTGCAAAATCTCATCTCATTCAGATGTATTTTTTGATAAAAGGAAATTCCAGTTTTCATGGACAGTTAGCAAAGAAGGATGTTTTTTTTTTTTTTTAAAGAAAGAAAGTAGAAGTTGCTTTCCACATAAATACTTGATGTCTGTTTCATGTGATCATTCATGCTTTTTTTCTTCGTTTTATCACTTAAACCCCTAACTTACACTTTATGAATCTATATATACAAACCACACCATTAATTTTTCTTCCATAACACCCCTCCAGCCACCATCACCAGCACCACACACAGGTAATCCACATAAAAATCATATTATTAAATACATGTTCTGTGATTATTATACGAGTTTTAGATATATATATTTTTTTCTTTTTTGCACAATCTAGACGCTTGCCAGATTTGTAATGTCATTTTAAAGAGAAAAAACTTTTTTTGGAAAAAACATTCCGCCACATCATTTAAAAAGTACTTTAGACATTTGATACACATGGTTGAGCTTGGTTTTTTAGGGGGGAGAAGAAAGGATACAGAGATGGAAAAGTTAAACACGGATTTGTATCTGAGAAATTGCAGAATCATTCAAGAGAACCAGAGGCTAAGAAAGAGAGCTCAACAGCTGGACAAGGAGAATCGAGCCCTACTGACCGAGTTAAAACAGAAACTCGGTGATCCTAACTGCACTCAAAAACCTCAACTCGACCTCCAACTCGGTTCTTCCGGTTCACAAAACGAGAAGTACAAATCCACCAAAACCAAAGGACAGGATTAGAGAATCAAAATTTTATATGTATTTCTTCATGTTTCATGTGACATACCCATACCCATACCCATACCATACATCCCATCAGGAATTTTAAATTTATCATCAAATCCAAAACTTAATGTTTAATCTCCAAATTAAAAAAAAAAAAAAAAATACAGTTCAATTGACTATTGAAAGAATGTAGAAATGTCTTAATAATTAGTCCACGTTCAGTTTTTGGTCTACACTTGAGAATGTTTGGTAAAATGCCTTGAAATGGTTGTAGGCAATATCTATGTCTTCCTTTCCGCATATCTCTCTTACACTGCAATTTTTTATAAAAAGATTAAAAAAAAAGAGGGAGAAATTCCAATAAAAAAAATAAACCAAATTCAACACCTGTGCATGGAAAGCTGAGGAATGCCACAATCAACTGTGCGAATACCAATTCCAGAAGCAAGTATAGGACCAATAGTCGATCCACATCCCATATCATTTCTTACTACAAAATCCTGCATATTATAAAATAACATAAAACCCATTTATTAGCAAAAACATTAATCATTGTAAAACTAGTAACACACAGTCTCACCTGAGTTGGAAGGTTATGGATTTTAGCAACTTCTTTAAAAAGAAAAGCTGTAATTCCACTTGTAGCATATCGTTGGTTTGCATTGTGCTTTATCACAAGACCCTTGTGCAATTCTGGGCGATGGTGTTCTTCATGCTTTTCCATAAAATTAGGGTGAACTCCATGAGCCATGTCAGCAGAAACTACAACAACATAAAACAAAAAACTTTTACAAAAAATGTAAAAATTATATCGACACAAAAGCTTTCACATTTATACAAACCAAGAAACGATTGACGAATTGCACGCTCAAAGACACCCTCCCTCACACACTGATTAGCCAAACAATCAATTATCCGCCTCATAGCTTGAAACATTGTTGGTGCTCCAGCACCTTGCACTGAGTCAGAACCAACCTATATAAACAATATTATATAACAGAAATCATTGGTGTATAACTTTTTGCATTAAACTGATATAAAATGTCACATTTCAGAGTTTTAAGTACCTCTTCATTATCGAAAAGTGCAACCATTCTAATTGCGTGTTCATCTGATAGATCTTTGGGTCCAGATGAGTCAACAAGAGCTTTAAGTGCACAAAAACTTGAAGCAAGATTATCTAATCTTCCAGAAAATATGAACTCGTTGTTTGCACCTCCAAGGCAGCTAGGTTGTGTATCACAAATGTTTAGCTCAATGCTTGCTATGTCATCAATTTCACATCCCAATTCATCTGATAGAATCTAAGATTAAGAAATACGAAAAGAATGTCATGGTTCACACATGATACAATACACCTGTTTAGAAAAGGAAGAAAAAAAAAAGCATGATTTGTAATAGATTACCTGCATAAGTAGAGGATGATGAGAATCTTTATTATTTTTGTCTTTTATGTCAACAGAAGAAACATCGTCGAGTTTTGTTGCCAACAAGGGGTTGAGGTGAGTCTCCAAGTTTGGCTTGAAACCATCCTTGTTCACAGTACTATATGTATGTAACCAAAACAATAGATGAAAATTCAGATAATAAAAACTATAAAACAGTTATATAATAATTAATACATACAATGATCTCAACCATTAATAGGAAACAAACCGGTCAAGATGGATAGCAAGAGTAGGGACACGTAACAGAGGCCTTTTGACTTTGACTAGTTTGTGTAGAAAGGAGCCATCACCATTTCTGACTATGACCCTTCCAGCTACACTTAAATCTCTGTCAAACCATGTATGCCATAATCCACCACCATAAGTTTGTACATTCACCATAAGATAGTTGGATTTGGACAATGCAGACTTTGGTTTTAGTTTCAGACAAGGGCTATCTGTGTGTGCAGCAATTACATGAAAACCATTGCCAACTGAGTACCTGAAAAACTACTGATTTGGAGCGTTAAATAATCAAAATGTTAACACAGCAAAGTGAAGATGTGATATTGAAACAAGATTATGGTGACTCACTTTTCTCCAATGGCAAAAGCAACCAGACAGGACATATTGCGAGTGAAGATGTAACGTCCACCAGGTTTAAGCTCCCATTCGTCATTCTCACTGAGAAGATGAAATCCAGCAGCAACTAATTGTCGTTTTGCTTCAGCTATAGAGTACATATTCAGATGGAGATAAATAAGATAATGATATAATAGAAGCTTTTTCTAAACACATCAACCTGGAATCACTGTTAACTTTTTAGTAATCATTTTCACATACAGAGTTCCAAGTAAAACTATGTATGTGACACAATGTCAAGCTCAAGCAACAACATTATATTTGCATACCTGTGGCATGAAACTGAGTCCAAGACTCGTTGAGATAATCCAGAAGATCACCAACTATTGAACCATTTGGTCCGTTGGCAGAGGAATTCTGCACAGAAACACTCCCGCATCAGAATGAACTACAAAATAATAAAAATTGCACTACTAACCTTCAACTGTTCAACTTGAAAGAAAAAAAACGTGAATTTGTATGTTTTGGAGTTTCTAAACTATATTAATTCAGTTAAAAACCGCAGTGGTCTTGAAATTCAAAAGCAACTCATTTCGAATCGAAGGTCAAAGTACAGGTCTTTCAGGGACAGACAAATCCATCATATAGAAATGTAGATGTAAGGTTATGATTCTAGAGAGGAGACCTCGGGCGTCGGGCTCGAATTGGCGCAGAGTGATGGAGCGAGATGAAGCTTGCGTATATGAGTGTTGTTTCGAAAGAAATTAGGGTTACAATAGAACGGCTGCGAAGAAGATTGACGAGGGAATTTCGACGAGATTGCAGAAGGTTTCAGAACTGAAGACGACTGTTGGAGGATATGGAATCGAGCGACGGCTGCCATTGATGAACGATTCCACGAAGTCTCCGAGTTCCTCAAGGAATTTACATGTCAATCTCGTTATAAGATAAGTTACCAAGAGTCCAAGAGTGACGTAGCTAATAACACTCTATGAAAACCCACCCAAACGTTGCCAAAAAACACCCCCACAAAATGATTAAATTTATAAAAAGTAATATTCTGAGACCAAAAATAAAAATATCAACTGTACTCGAGCCAAAAATATTATTTACTTTTCTTTATCGTCACCTCATAAACAAACTTTCACTTCTGATTTATTAGGCTCGTTAATTCGTTATGATAGCAATAAGCCATTACCTTTTTTTTCAAGAGAGGGGATGCGTTTGTCAATATACAATAATACAGGGGTTTAAGATGGAAATAATATGTAAATCTTTGCGAGAATAACTGCCAATTTCAACACACAACCAAGTGCGAATGTGAGGCTGTGAGTGTGAGGTTGCATTCCCCCCTTTGAAGCAGATGGCGGGAACACTTGAAACCCTAACGAATCTCATTTCTCCAGTAACCGTAACAGCTCATCTCCGATCGCTGAACTCACAGTCCAGTAATCGGTCGTTCGATGCTATTAATAACTCGTTGATATCTCGAAAGGTCCGTTCACTTAGAAGAACACTCATCATCAGAAACCACACAAATTCCGATCAGGTTCTTCCCTTTTCATGATGCACTTTGATTTCATTGGAATAGTTGTTACGACTTACAAACTCAACCCGATTTGGTGTGGAATTTTGAATTGGTTGGCTCTTCGTTTGAAGTTAAGAGTGTAGTAGTGTGGTTTCAGGTTCAGGGTAATGGAGGTCCAAATCCAAATGAATCTCCTCGAAAGTCTGGTTTCTTGAGCTTTTCGGTCCTAGCAGAACCTTTACTGAGTTTTGCTTCTAGCAATTTTCTTCCATTGGGTAATGTAATGTTATTTTTTTTTTTTTCATGCAGTCGGATCTGATCTTAAGTGACGTTAGTAAAGTATTCCATAGATCAAAAAATATGAAATTAAGTTACCTGGTTACGTTATTTATCTTTCTTTTCAGCCAGCATTAACTAATAACTACTAAGAGTAGTTTTTTTTGATGCTGTGCAGCTCTTATTGGAGGAGTAGCATTGGGCCTTGCAAATCCTGGTCCTGGTTGTCTTGCCCATAGATATCAATTATCTATAGTTAGCACTTTTGGGATATTTATCATATCAGGCAAGAAGTCAAGAGTATTAGCTGGTGTTAAGTGTTAACTTTACTTTTATCAGGTAATTATTCTCTGTTTTTTCATGATACAGGATTAAGATTGCGTAGTGAAGATATTGGTGCAGCTGCTGAAGCATGGCCAGTTGGACTCTTTGGGCTAGTATGAATTCATATTATTTAAGCACCATTGTAATTTTCGTAGGTTCATTCTTCACATTTGTCCTTTTTTTAGTTTCTTGCTGCTCCTTTTCTTTTAACAGAATGGAGGACACTTACTAACCAGAAGCTTCTTAATACTAATAATCAGTTACCAGTCTGTGGATTTAATTACTATTCAATCTCAATGATTGTTTTGTAACCTTTCCGCTAGATCTAATCAAGTTTCACTTAAAATCCCATTTCGTCCTCTATAAATAAATGTTTTGACACTCTTACATTATCGTCAGTACAGGCTTCAATTTTGTTGTTTACTCCCCTCCTTTCCAAAATAATCCTGCAACTTCACTTCCAACCTCAAGAATTTGTTACAGGTGTGGCTTCAGACATAATTAAATATTTTTTCTAGCATCAATCAACTCTTTGTATATCTTTTAATCTTGTTCTTTTACTACTACATGCAATAATCTGTTTTTTTTTTCTTCCTTTTTTTACAGGACTAGCTCTTTTTAGCTGTATGCCTACAACATTATCAAGTGGAGTTGCTCTAACCCGGGTCCGTTGATGTTATTGTAAAGTTCATCTAATTACTAAATTTTTTATGCATAATTATGAAACTGAGAAACATTGATTGTGAACCAAGATATGTATTGCTGAATTGCAGCTTGCTGGAGGAAATTGTGCTTTGGCTCTTGCTATGACTGTAACATCTAGTTTGTTGGCAATTATGATGGTAAGTTCCAAAGCTATGACCTTGTTTTCCCTTTAAGATTGTTTGTAAGATGCATGCTATATTTGCATCCCATGTCGTATTATTTTATTAGATGCTTTAACTTTCATTAACTGGTTTGAAATTTGGTGTTTACAAATTACAATATCAAGAATAAGAGAATTGACAAAATACTTGACTATCTACACTTGATGTTACCTGCTTCTCTAAAAACATTTAAAAACAAAAGTTCACTACATTTAGAAGTGATTCTTGTCTCTAATCTTGCATATTAGAGAAAATAATCAATCTGAGTTTTCATGTGATTAGTGGCTGCATCTTTGCAGGTGCCTTTTTCTATATCAAAACTAATAGCTTCTGGACTTGGGGCATCTGTTCCAACTGAGCAATTGTTCAGAAGACTTATAATCACACTTTTGATACCCTTGATTTTGGGGAAGGTAACACCTTTTATTGTCACTTTTTAAGGCCCATACAATATCACAGTTTTTAGTCATTCTGTGTAAATATCATGCCTTTTCTTAGAACCAAAGCAATTTTCCCCCCACATATGAAACAGGGGCATCTGCTAAAAACGAGAAAATTTTGTGATGCTTCTCAAACTATATCCATAATACATCTCAACAACATAAAGATTTCAGAATCAGGGATTGATGGTTACCTTACCCTATGCTTCTTACTTTTTTTGTTTCTCGTCCAAAGAATTAATGTGGATTGCATCTGTTTGTTACATGGTGTTTCACAAGTGTTGAGATTAAAAAAGTAATTGTTGGTTTCGTTTGACAGGCTTTTTGGGAATCCTTTAAAGGTGATATTTCTTTTGTCTATATAATTTACAAGTTGTTGGGATATTCTGATTTAAGAACCGGAACCATAGAACCTAGTATGTCTAAAACTGAAAACTCGTTATTATGGAGTTCCATAGATAAGCACATTTGACTAGTATATCTCCAACTCAAACAATGTGTCAAATTTTTCTTGCATATGTTATAACTTAACTTAACTAACCAAATTGTTAATTCTCCAAGTTTTTGTGCATTGCAGGCTTGGCAGATTTTGTTGATAATAACAATCAGCTCTTATCGGTACTGAGTGTGATATTACTTAGTTTGGTATGTTGTCATTATTTTTTTATAAGCTTTTCATTTCTACATCCTGTTGATGTTATCAAATTTGAATATGAGTTTTGTGTTTGACTGACAATGTGTGGTGATGTTATCGAGGTCCCGTGGATACAAGTAAGCAGATCAAGGCCTCTACTTGTGATGGTTAAGCCTGAAGCTTTTCTTGTAGCTGTGATGATGGGAGCGTATGATCTTTCATCTGAATCACATACATTGTTGAGATGATACTTTGTTATTTCATTTAATATCGTATATATATACTGCAGGCTGCTTCACCTGATACTATTAGGTTTCAATGCCACATCAATTCGTTGCCTATGTGCTGTATCTGGTGGTAGCAAATCAATCTTTGCAAAAAAGAAAAATTCTACTGCCCTCTTACTTATTGCAAGTCAGGTAACAAATTAAATTATCCACTAATCAACTGTCCTGTTTATTATTATTATTATTATTATTATTATTATTGTAGAACCTATCTTTTGGTGTTGGAGATATTATCCTTAAAATCTTATCTGGTGTGAGGGTGAGATTTTTGTAGAAAGCTTTGCCAGTGCTGGTTGCGGTGGTGGATCAACTTGGTGGTACATTTGGTGAACCAGGATTACTAATTATCCCCTGTGTCGCAGCACATTTAAACCAGGTTCACCCTTCGCCATATACCATATGCATTTCAAAAGCTTTTTAATTGCTAAATTTCTTTTATACCCAAGCAACTGCTATTTTTAAAACTAAACGTTTTGGTTTATAGATCATCATGGACTCTTTTCTCATTACCTTTTGGAACAAAAAAGATCAGTCGCTTGCCAATACCTAGCTGTTACACGACCAATCACCAAGATGGATCATTTTCAGTGGGTCAATAAAGCTGGAAGGAAACACATGAAATACTCGTGCATATTATTATTATTATTATTAAATTCCTTAAACAATTTCAATGCAAATATATCGTACAGTAATTATCTTTGATTTACTGAAAAAAAGATTCAATTTATTGAGCATATCGTGGGTACATAATCCTAAATTCTTTTTAGGTATTTCTCATTCTAACATGCTCCAACTCCAGGAAAAAAAAAACAAAAAACATAAAGAAAATGGAGAAAATACATGGGAAATAAACAGGTCAACAATGAATGCGCTTGTTTGTTTACTTAGGCAAGCCAGTGAGTGGGTTAAGAAGAGCATGGGTTTCATCCGACAGCACAACCGGACCACCACCAGGTCTTGTGCAGATGAAGTAACTAACATCTCCCTTGGATTTCTCGGTCGGAATTTTGTCTTTGACTTCTGGGGGAGCGGTCAAAGCTTCAACATCCTTCATATCCTTAATCCCAGCATCTTGTAGAATCGACTTGTCCCCAATTATGTAGCTAGTATCAAGTCAAAACAAATAAAAATCAGACTTACAATTATTGCATATATGATATATACCAACAGTCAAAAACATTTTCCATTTTGGGAGAAAAATCAAAAATAGTATACCTGTCTAAATCAGTATCGGATTGAGGAGGGAAGTTATAAAGCAGCCTCTGGAGTAGAAGAGCAGCAGTTTTCCTGTTGCGTGCAATCATAACAGCATTCGGCCCTGCATCAAAAGTATATGCCACCTGCACATGATTGGTCCGTCTTAAAGTCATTTACATCTCATGACATGACTTCCTTCATTATTTCTTAATGGGAATACAATACAAAATACAGACCTGAGGTGTTTCTTCTGCACGATTCCATTTCTCAACACAGCTGATTATTCTGAAATAAAATCACCATACCATATAATGTTAGCTTATGATATTCTTGTAATGGGGAGCTAATCACCAATTTAAATATATAACTTGCCTATGGGATGTGTCATTCATGTAGAAAATAGGAGGGTATGTGTCAAGGCAAACTGCATGAAACTGATTGCTGTCTGTACAAGCTAGACGTGTAAAAGTCGCAAAGTCCCGGTTTTGTATCGCGCCTTCCATTTCAGTTATACGTTTTGGCACAACTTCCTGTCACCAATAAAACATGGAAGCTTTAACATATTTATACAACTTAAGAGACACGACACCAAATGCATAAATTATTAATATAATGAATCAACCTTGGCTCTATGTTCAATAAGTGCACTTGTTTCAACAGTGTCGCGCATTCCTGAAGTGCTACTGGTTTCCTTCTGTTGTGCACTTACCTGTAAACAGCAACACCAACTTCAACTTTAGAACAAACACACACATACACACACACCAAAGTAAATGTGGAAAGAAGGAAAAAGAACATACCACAGCAATGATAATTACAAGTTCGTCCCAATGCTTCTCATCTGCAAGTTGGACAGCAAGGCTGTCACTGCCATTTTCTTCCTACAATCCATACACAACATAACATTTGGTTTAATCACATGAATGATGATATTTGATACAAGAAGCTAAATAAAAGATTACAAATATCAAAACCTACTTTTCCCATACACCACTTGACAAATCCACCATATAAACTGCGACAAGCACTACCTGAACCTTGCCTGCAGTGCACTCACATACATAATAATTTATAAGTTGTTATCTTATTTCAGAATTCAGATTCATATAACAACAACTACCTACCTAGCAATGGCAGAAAGTTGACTGTTATCTTCTTTCAGATTCATCAGCTTCGCAAGGGAAAAAACTGCACATTTTATTGTAAGTTTCTTGCTTCACTAGAATAATAATAACTCAAGTTGTTCAGAAGATAGAAATTGTACCTAGGCAAGCAAGACCGGCTGCTGAGGAAGCCAAACCTGCGGCTGTTGGGAAATTGTTGTATGAAGCAATGTGCAGATTAAGTTTTTGCCAATCCTCTTTGTTGATTTTGATGCCTTTCTTCTTGTCCTCTACATCTTGAGCACGAGCACGAATTTCTCTTAAACAACTCTGGAATCTACCTCCTTGAAGAGATATCTCCTACACGAGAGAGATAATATGCCATGGATGATTGATCAATTCTAACTTAACAGTTTTCTCTAACTTTATAGCCAATGGAAGGATATAGCTACTCAAACTGAATAACGAAAAACTAATAAGACGATGCAGAGTAAAGTAGAAGCAGAAGCAGGTGAATACCTTGCCGTTAAGCCACATACGATCTTGATCAAAGCTAGGGCTGACAGAGACGGTGGTTGTGGTACAAAGGTGACTTGGATCGAGAGTGACACTGATGCTATCGTTGATCGGTAATATCAATGTTTCATCTCTCTTCCCCCAGTACTTGATCACCGCTATGTTCGTCGGTGTTCTCGCTGTCACCATCAACACCCATTTCTCCGCTTCACCTCCCATCTTCTGCGATCGTTTTCCTTTCAATTTCAACTATGAATCAGAGAAAATTATGAATCAAAGATCCGAAGGCTATAGAAATTGGGAGGGGATTAGAGGTTTGGCGAATGAATATGGCGCTTCACAGGATGCTATGCAGTGGATGTCGAACTTATTTATATGGAGGTTTGGATGGAACCCCCCATTGTTGACTGGAGTTGATAAGCAGCAAGAGGAGTGTGGGTTTGTTGAAATTATGAATGAAATACTCCATAGACATGGACCCTTTTTGACAGATGCTGACTAGTTCTGGATTTTACAATTTGGCCACCATGGTTTTTGTTATTAGAACTCATGGTCACTGTAGTTTTATTCTTCTCGAACTAGCCACTGGCCACTTTTGGTCCAAATATGAATGAAATTACTTTTCAGATGCAACCATAGTCTTTACTCACAATTACTTTTCAGACTCAATATTACTAAATACATGTTAAAATCTTTTTTTTTAAGACCCGGTTTTGACAATTATGAAATCTCTTTCCTGACAAGTACGTTCCAACCCTCAACATTACTAAATACATTTAAAATCTTAATTTTCCAAAAATCTAGATGATAATGATGAAATTTTGAATCACAATCACAAATTCACGAAGTATATAATGTTATTAGTCTTAAAAACCCTTGATTATGTCGGTGATTCTAAAAAAAAAAAAAGTGAGACAATGTTTTCATCCGATCCAATAAAATGCCACCTTGATCCATGCAAACAAAGTGGTGAAACCATTGCCTTAAAGGAAAGGTAGAGTGGGTGACTCCATTCAAATGGGGAATGCTCACTTTGAAGTTCACTAAAAGAAGTAAAGAACAAAGAAATTCAAATATCGTTTTTTTTGGGCATACCACTTTTTTTTTTTATTTTTAAAAAGTCATATTTAATGAAGATTAGTTTATCTCCTGAATGGAAATAGTATTGATGAGGTAAAAGAGATGATATTGAAGTTAATATTGAATTCTAGAAAAAAGCAATTGCAATGGCAAGTGTGTCCATCTTGTAAACGCTAACGAATAGAATGAGATGAAGAAACCAAGTTTCGAACTTCTTTACATAAAACACCTCATATATCTTAATTTGTCAATATACACAAAAAAAAAAAAAAAAAATGAATATCAAGCATCCCATCCCATCTCACTATTTGGAATAGAGCTAACAATAGTGGCTAAATTATTAAAAATTAAAGCTTACGGTCAAATCTGAAACATAAAATCGTGGACTATTTGGAATAGAGCTAACAATAGTGGCTAAATTATTAAAAACTAAAGTTTACGGTCAAATCTGAAACCTAAAATCATGGTGGCTAATAATAATCTCTTTGTTCTTTCTATAAAAAAATAATAATTATAAGTGGATCTCATTAATATTAATATATTGCAATAATTATTGAATAATTTCTATTAAAATTTCATTTTTTTAACAACCTTAAAGCTTTTAAAACAACTCAAAAAAATGTAAAATTTTAAATTAAAACGAAATCAAATATTTTATTTCTATTAATGTTTGTCTTATTTTAATAGAATATTTATAATTACAAGGAGCCCCATTACTTGGACTTGCATGCGGACTTGCGCCATTCCAAATATTGGCATATTGTTGTCCATTTTTGACATTTCCTGAAACAAAAATAAAAAACTGTGATATTTTGGTATATCTTTTATAGGAAACTGAGATTATGATGTTCAGGAAGGTGTTACATCAATAATGTCGCAAACTCTATAATAAAAGTGATGGCATGTTATATGAATTTAAACTTAAATTTTCAGTATATAAGAAAAACTAATAGACACGAATTAAGACCATTATAAACATTTTCTTGTAAGAAAATGATGTGTTGCTAATAGTCTCAAATGAGGTTATTTATTTCACGTTTTTATAGTTATTTTGTTACACAGATCATCCAGAATTGATATTTAACAACTAATTTAACCGTATAATCCAAAGAATTATATTTAAAACTAATTATTATGATCTCAAAGTAAAATACTTGGATAGTAATTAGCTACAAATAATACACACATATAGGTTTTTTGGAAATCACGTTTTCTTGCGGAACCACATTTCCTTCGTGAAACCACGTGTGACTAGCAAATAATAACTCAATAACACATGTTGATGAAATTACAAATACTATGCTATATAGTATATTCATCATGTTCCCTTGGTTAGATATTATAAAAAAAAAAAAAAAAATCTGCGTTTTGCATAGCTTTTTAAATAAGTTAGTAGGAAAAATAGACTAATTGATGTTTACGTTTATTTGTAGTATAAAATTATATCAACATAATATTTTTTATTTTTAACAAATACAGTAACTAGTTTATAATAAAAATATGACAAATTATAAATATATACAAATATCAATTTATTTTTTGTGTTTACAATCACTGTAGTTAATAATATAGTTTATGATTCATGTTTTCCTTGTTATTTTGTCCAAACATTTTTTCCCTAATTTTAATCATTTTTTATTGTTTTTGTCCAACATTTAATCAAAGTTTTTTGGTAATTAGTTTTTTAATACTTTTTACATCTTATATGTGATATAGTATTATGGTTTAAAATCAATTGTCATTCCTAATGCGAAAAAATACATGTAAGAACTTACGGAAAACGCAAGCTCAAATACTAGTATATATACATGATAGAGAGTGAAGAATGATGTGGTAATGGAGTTGCACACATGGGGTGATGGAGTGTGATTAGAGGTGAGCCATGTCATTAATCCATAATAAGGATTGAGTTTAATGAATTAAACTCCCCATTAAACTGGCATTGAAGATGACCTTAGAGCTTAAAAGGCTTTCTTCCATTTATTCAACTATACGCCAATTTTGTTTGATTGTCACAAGTCACAAGTGACAAACCCTTGGGCCTTGGTTCTTAATACAGAAATCAATATAAATAGTCCAGAAAATATGTTTACTTCTGTCACATTTATACACTTGCTACGCATTAAAAATTAAAAAGTCCGTTATATCCTATGGTATCTGAATGTATAATATATATTCTATATATGATACAGTTTCAATAGTATTCCTTTAAGTATCTGAATAACCTCTAAAAGCCCAAACTGTTTTATACCATGATATCATAAAATAAAATAAAAACCAAGTTTTGACGTTG